TTTATACAAAATCTATTTAATATAAATAAATAAATAAATATTTTTACTATACTTTATAACGCTATGGGATAAAAAAACAGTAATGAATAAAGAAATATAAACTAAATTTTATCTAAATAATATTATTAAATTAATTTAACTGTCATTTTCAGATCTAAAATCAGAAATTGAAAGCGTAAACAAATTAAAAAAATCTACTATCGAACATATGTCTCCTAATGCAAATTGGACTTCAATGTCTATTGTTAATTTATTAAAGAAGGACATTTATGGAGAACATAATCACACAAATCTTTTCGCAAAACCTTGTATTACTGCTTATTACAGCTATTTGGTTTTTAATGATTATGCATGTTTTTAATGAGATAGATCTTGGAAACTACCTGAAGAGTTCAAGGTCGTATCTGAGNGAAACTACCTGAAGAGTTCAAGGTCGTATCTGAAGTGGCATCTAAGATATCTGAACTCCCCTCATCCAATTTTATCAATGTCTTAGAATTTTTTAAAAATTATTTTTGACGTTAGTCATAAATTATTGTTGTTTTCAAATTAAAATTTAATACTGATCATTATATGTGTTTATATTCTATTTTAATATGCTACTTAATGAATATTTACAATATGTATAATAAACATTTAATAAATGCAAAAATAAAGCATTAAATAATTTATATTAAGATGGAAGTTTCACATTTGAATCTGATTTATATTGCTACNATGGAAGTTTTACATTTGAATCTGATTTATGTTGCTAAATTATTATAATAGTTTCGAATTTCTAATACTAAATTGTTATCGATAAACTAAGATCATTATAACAGCCAGGCATCGTTAATTACAAGACAGAATGTTTGTAAATAGTAACATTTTATATACTAATTCGAAACTTGTTAACATTTCAATACCGTAAAAGAGCGTCCGTACGAAAGAGTGTAGGACACTAGTGTAATCTATTGTGCAAGGAACTTAAATTGAGCTTGCATCTACTCTATATCACTCTACAGATGACTGAAAAGACATAGGCTACTAGGAAATAGTTTTCTAGTACAGGACAGTAATGTTGTTTATAATCTTATTGTTGGTTTCTCCGGTTATTAAGTTATAAATGCGTTAGTATAAAATACTATACTTGAGAGCAGACTATATACACACAAGAAAGGGTTTATATATAATCTCAAAAGAACATTAAATTCAATTCTGACCTTGGATAGATTTAATATAGAGCTGTAATGGAGAAGTTATCATATGTGAAATAATGTATTAATAAAAGTCGCGTAGTTTTGAATGCATGTATCGATAATCATAATCGTTAATAATGACATCAAATATAACTATCAAATATTTATCTCACAAGGATAATTAGAGGTAATTAAAAACATTTATTTATATGGTAAATCTACAATAACACCTATATCGAAGGATTTTAAGTAGTTCACAATTAGAATAGGGTAGGTCATCGAAAATGAACTGACTGAATAGTTGTATAGAAAAAATACAATACTCATAGTTTACACATATTATATTGTATTTTTTATGTAGGACGATAATCTTTCGTTGTCTTATAACCCAACATCTAGACGTGTTTCTGCACGGACACATACCCCAAGATATTTTCACTTTAATCTTATTATTCTCAGTCAGTGACCTTATACCAAACACCCCAATAAGTTATATCTTATACGTAAACAATTTTTTGGTGGTGCTACCTTGTTATATATTTTGTACACTATACGGTTATTTTTCGTATATTACAATCATTCGTATAATTTGTGAATCACAAACTACTCAATTACTCACAAAATAATTAAAATTTTGAAAAAAATGTATCTTTACTTTTTAGTTACATACATTTCTTGATTTATCCACAATTAAGTATTTTTTTGGCTCATCCTTTGTGCGCTATATTTTTTTATTAAAAACATACATTTATCTACTTTATAAAATAGAAAATATTTGTTATGTCGCCATTTAGGGATTAAGCCTAAATGCTCGTCGACAGTAAATTAAGGAACCTACGAGGGATTGCTGGCTAGGTTATATCTACTATAGGTACCCTAGTTAATTCATATACCCATACAGGAACTACCAAGAGTCGTACTATAATACTTTATATATAACACTCTTGGTTAACAACAATTTAAATATTTATAAATTAAAGAAATATTAAATAAGTAGTAAAACTTCCTGGATACCTAGAGATGATAATAATCCAACAGAGAGCTGACAGCGACGCACACACACTTAATAAAATCGTCGTGGGTAAGCTAAGTTAATTTATGTATTTATATATGAGGAACAATGAAAATAATAAGAACGTTGGTCGTTCCGGTGGTAAAAAATCAATTGACTACTTGTGACATACGCATTATGGCGCACGATGGCTGTTGTTACGTCACTATTTAGGGGTTGAGCCTAAATGCCCGTCTATAGTATTTTAAGGGACCAACGGGGGATAGCTGGCTAGGCTATAATTAGTAACCTTAGTTACTGAGGTTACCTATTTAATTTATATTCCCTTAGAGGAACTACCAAGGGTCGCACTACTATATATATATATATAACACTCTTGGTTAACAACGATATAAATATTTATTAAGTACAGAATATTAAATAAATAGTACAACCTGCTGGACACCTAGAGATGATATAATCCAACAGGGAGCTGATGGCGACACACACACACACTATTTACGTGGTAGGTAAGTTAAGTTGAATATGAGTTAATATAAGTTAAGAGTAATGGTCAAGATGATTGTAATAAGTCAACTGCTGATCGGGACATCCATGTTATGGCACGGTGGCCGCGAATCCCGAAAGTGCTTATGTGTGCAGTCAGTCCTCCTGTTAGTACTGTTGTATGTCATTGTGCCAATATTATAAGTATAATCAGCGGTACAATCATATTGTGGAAACAGTAATATGGGCATATATATATATATGTGTGTGTGTATAATATGACATATAATATTATAATACATAATATATATGTGGTCTGTTGTATCTCCTCCGTCGGATGGTACTACTATGTTTTGTTTCTAACAGCTTAATAAATAAATAAAACCTTTGAGTTCTAACTGAATCAAGGAAATTCTTTTATCCCTTTGAACACCACCAAGGTTTATGTCCACGACTGTTACCCGTAACCCGAAAGCGTAATAAGACCAAAGGTACTCAAATATTATCACCACAAATTACTCGTTAAGATATTACTAAGGACGTTGTGTTGTATGGAGACTCAGACATGTTTTAAATGAGAATCTTCTTATACCTTTACTTAGAATAATAGAAAGGAATAGAAGTTCAATCGTAATAATTAAAAATATAATTAAACGAGATAAAACGTATTAAATTTGAACACACTAAAAGTATATTAAAAAAAATACAAGACAGTTAAGACTTATTGTCAGAATTATTCCAACAAAATAGTCTAATAACAATATATCAGGAAATTACAATTATGTTACAATTAAACGAAATATTACAATGTTTTACTTCCTGCTTTGAAGATGGTAGACTATGTAACAGGTCGTATCGTATTGTAATTAGAGAAATTACTGTTCGATATCAACTTTTGAACATATATTTCAGATGTTATTAACAATTTAAAGTTAAGACAGGAGTTGAGCAGTGGTTGCTGCTATTTTTATTACAATAAATTTCTCGACTTCATCCCTCCTCTCGGCCAAAAATTTTAAAAGCTTCTGAAATACTTGCTCAAAATTTGTTATCGTTCAGTCATTCTCTTAATTAAAATGTTTTTTATTCTAAAAGCTAGTGAAATAAGTATGTTTCTAATAAAAAAATAAAAATTGATACGCTTATAACGCACAAAGTACGAGCAAAAAAAATACATGACAGTGGATAAATTAGGAAATATGTAATTAAAAAATAAAAATTTAATTTTTATCTAAATTATAATTATTTTATGAGTTATTGAGTGGTTCATAATTCACAGATCCCCTTGAATATAATCTTAGGTTCAATAATAGCAACAACACTCCGGTGGAAATACTTATGAGAATAAACAGAATTAATATAAGTCAGTAGAAAGTACGCACAATTGACTTACAGGTCTGAGTGCATAAGTAATTATTGTTCACGTCTATATCAACTAAAACTATACTAGTGACGTAATAATATTAACGCTCCAAAAATTATTTTTAAATTATTTTTTCCAAAAATTAAAAGAAAAATTATTTTAGAACTATTATTGGTTTGTATTTGTAGAAGTTCTATTATTGATATGAGTAGTATATGTATGGCGGGTACGGGCTCTCAAAGGTGCCGACAAATGACGTCATCTATTGTTCTTAGAACAATGGGGCTATTGTTCTCGGAAAACAATAGGTGCATTACGGGCTCTCAAAGGTGCCGACTAATTACGTCATGTATTGTTCTTGGGTAACAATGGTTGCACAGGTGAGGTGCAGTCCGTCATGGTGACGTCACACCTGACCTACCTTAACCTCCCAGGCCCCGGCGCCTGTTGGGGACTGCATCCAAGTGCAGCTTATGACGTTATGCCCCTAGTTGACGTCACACTTGAACCTTGACCTAATATAAGCCCTATGTTGTGCCCTTTGCTGACGTCACACCTAAACTTTGATATAAGGTATGCCCTATGACGTCATAACCGACCTTATGTAAGCCCTGGCTGACGTCACGCCTAAAATCTGTGCAAACATGAGCCCTATGACGCTTTTGCCAGATCGGTCGAACGCGCCCTATGACGTCATACCTAAACTTTGATATAAGGTAAGCTCTATAACGTCATACCTGACTTAAGATAAGCCCTATGGTGGGCCCTGGCCGACGTCACGTCTAAACTCTGTGCTAACATGAGCCCCATGTGGACCCTGTGTGCCCTATCACGTCGTGATTGTGTCTTGCGCTATGATGCTGTCATGTACGACCCTATATAGTACTACAACGTCGGGCAGCGCTTCACCGACCGATCGAACGCGCCTTAACTCCATCGTCGGATCCCACAGCTGACAAGTCGATCAAAAAAAAAATGTTAATTTTCCAGAGTACCAACACGCAAACGGTTAAACGTGTGTATAGTACG